ATATTTTAAAATTAATTGATTACAGATTATTTCGAGGTAATAGACTAAAAATTTTGTACGTCACATATTATTTCAAGGTTACAGATTAAAAAATTTGTACGTCACAGATTTTTAAATTAGTTTGTCAATGATTATTTTTGAGTCACATATTATTAAATTTTTAGGTCATAGTTGAGTAATTAATCACAAATTACCAAACATTTGGTCACAGATTACCAACATTTGTTCTCCGATTACCAACATTTGGTTACAGACTATCCCCTGTCCACCTCCCACCCCACCCCACCACCCCAAAATGAAAATCCGAGCCCAGTCACTGTCGCACCGTCTAACCACCATCGCCACCTTCGCCTTCGAACCACCACCACTTGTCAACCATCATTTTCAACTACAAAACTATCACTATCACCGCTAGATCCACCACCACTAAATCCAACAAAAATCACCGCAACTGCCAGATCCACTACCAACGCCGACAACAAAAACCACAGCCTCTACCCGATCGAAACCACCACAACTGCCACCCAAACACGCCAAAACCGCCAGCATCCTACACCACCTCCAGCATCACACTCCACCACCAACTATAGTGAGATCTGAATCTGTAGCTGCCGTCGTTGCCGTCGCCACCGCCACTGCTACCAACACCATCGCTACACACCATCACAATCGCAACGAGATCTAAATCTGAATCTGTATCCACCACCTCACCACCATCCGTAACACCGTTAACACCACATCGTCTCCCCACAATTGCAAAACACAAATCAATGATGGTCTTGGGTCATCTTACCAAATCCCCAAACCGCAGCGATGTTCTGAGATGTGAGAACTGCAACGAACAACTAAGAGTGCTTCTACGATGAACGGAGGCCGATGGGATGCCCTCGCGCCATCGATTGGGAGAATGGATGGGGGAGGGAGGAGAGGAGGCGAGAGACAGAGAGGAGAGGGAGTAGAGAGGTAAAAACTAGGGTTAGGGGTTTTATATATTACCCAATTTTTGAATTATGAAATTTGGTCCCTGATTTTTGAATTCCAATCTTCAAACCCCCGGAATTATGTAATTTCCTCATGAAGTAAATCGAGTCAATTGGAAAAAGACCGAATAGTACAGCCAAGTACAGCTGCTCTCTTTGACCCTTCCAACTTTGAATTGGTTTTAAATTTTTTTTTGGATTGGGCTTCACTCCAAATTAGCCCATTACAACAAAAAAGAAAAAAAATTATTTGGGGGATGGCGTTGAGCCCAGAAGTTCAGGGTTGGCCTGTACCCACCCTGGTCCTCATTGGGCACCGCC